TCTTATAATATGATCAGCACCAAATGCTGTCTCTGAAGATAATATCATCTTTCAAAATATCATCCTCGAACTTAAAGAGACATTTACAAGTAATTCTTTTAAATTTTTTTTATCTGATAATCTTAATGTCAACATGTTTAAATTTAATTTATTACATTCCTGAGTTGAGCAGGTCCTACAGAAATAGAATCTAGATAAAGATACTTTATAAAAAAAATGAATTATTAGATACAGTATAATTAATAAAATATTTGATGAAGAGTTAATCTTTGTTTTGTTATTTATATATAATAATTAGGCATTTATTTTTTAATATTACTATTATATTAGTTTAATTTTCAAAAGAAGAGTATTTATAATAAATGGAAGTGTAATAACTAATAATTAAGCCTTTATATTGTATTTTGACTTTCTTTAATATAATTAAAACATCCAGTTCAATGTTATTTGTATTGAACTTAGCAATGTTTCACCAAAAGGAAAATAAATATCTATTCTATTATTTCTTTATTATAATATGTTAAATCTAATCAATTAGTATTATAGTTTCAGTTTGAGCTTGATTATATAATCCTCTTGACAACATTTTTAGGGCTTTTTTAAATAATATATTTTGAATTGAAAGTATTTTTTGTATCATTTGACTCAATCCATAAGTTCTTAAATGCCAAAAAGCCTCATTATATTCATAATAGGAAAATACTTTATCAAAATCTTTGGCCCATATCATCTTGGGCAACTTTTGATAATGATAGACAATATTGTAAACTTAAATTTTTATGATAACCTACCCCCTTTTAACCACTAATAAAACATACTTTAATATGTTTAACAAAATTTGTTGAACCCTTAATCCATAGTTCTTAAATGCCAAAAAAGCTAATTATATTCATATATAGGAAAATATTTTATCAAAATCTTTAGCCTATATCATCTTGGGCAACTTTTAATAATGATAGATAAAGACAATATTGTAAACTTAAAATTTAAAATAACCTATATGAACCTTTTTTAACCATATATAAATTAAATTATATACTTTAACATGTTTAACAAAATTTGTGTTGAACCCTTTATCATTTTTTTGTTTATATAGGTTTTACATTCAGCCTTTACATTGTTTTTTTTAACTTTAAATTTCCATATAAAATTTTAAAAATGAAATTTGATTCAGGAGAAGTTATTTTCATCCAACTTTGATACATACTATTTTTTTCTTTTATAAAAAAGCACAGTGAAATTAAAAATGAGATTACCAAACACCTCAACGAATTCTCTACACAAAAAAATATATCACTGCATCCAGACAATCTAAATTAAATTTTAACAATCTAAACCTTCCAGCTGTATCGCAAAAAACAGCAGACAAGGTTATCATGGATTTTATTATTGACAACCAGTCTCTGGTTGATGATCCTTCATTTGAAAAAATGATTAAAACTTTTTCTCCTGCGACAAAAATTATTTGTCGCCAAACACTGGGCAACAGGATATCTACTTCCTTCTCTTATATGACGACAAATCTTTTAAGAGATTTGTCTAAAGTTTCTTATGTATGCACCACTGCTGATTGTTGGAGTGGTCATCGAAGGTATATTATATTTATATGAATTTTATAATGTTTATTTTATTAGGGCTTTAATTGGACTTACTGCACATTGGCTGGATCCGTTAACCCTCAAGAGAAAATCAGCCGCTTTGGCACTGAGGAGGATAATTGGGAGGCAAACATATGATGTTTTGGTCAATGAAATCATGGGTATCCACAAGTTCTATAAAATTCATAATAAGATGGTGAAGATGGTGACTGCCAATGGAACCAACTTTATCAAGGCATTTAAGTAATATTTATATTTAGCAAAAAATATTTAAATAAATTTATTTTTTCTAGAGTTTTTGGAGAAAATGAAGGATAGTAGTGAGGATATGGAATTGGTAAATTTGGATGACATATTATCCGTTGATGACCCAATTATTCCTACTATCAGCCTACCAAAACATCAATGTTGTTGTTGCCATAATTTTAACCTTATTGCAACAACAGATGCGAAGATGGCAGATAGTGATTTCAATTATAAACGAATATCTAGATCCACTTTTGCAAAATGTTTTGCTTTAGTTAATAAACAAAATATGTCGTCAAAAATAGCCGATATTTTATTGGAGAAATTGGGAAGATATTTAATAGCTCCGAACAAGACAAGATGGAATTCTTATTACCAATCCATGAAATTAATAGATAAGATGCTTTCTAAAATGTTTTCAGTAGAACAAGTATGTGATCAAATTGGATTTGCAATGTTTAGGCAAGAGGAATGTTTTTTTGTTAAAGAGTATGCAACAGTAATACATTGATATTCTCTAAATAAATTTAAATTTTATAGGTTATGGAACCTTTGGCGATCTCGTTAAAAATCTTGGAACGGGAGGATAATATGGAGCAGGGATATCTAACTCCCGTTCTATCGATATTGATAGATAAATTAACGAAATTTAGCTGCCTGCGGTATTGTCAGCCCCTTGTAGATAGTGTTCTTAGAGGTATTGATAAAAGGTAATATTTTTTTATGCAATTATTTTATATTATCAGATATCTGCAAAATATATTAAAAAATTGCAAAGATCTGGCAAATTTAGTAAAATATTTTTAACAGGCCAGTTCTACTAAACCTCTGATATCTAGTAAAATATTAATGGGCCTTTGAAGACATTAAAAATTTATTAGATTATTTGAATTTTAAGCTAATATTTTGATTAATATTATTTGTAAATAAATTACAATGTTAATTTCTTTGTATATTAAGTATTAAGTTTACATTTAATCAATATTTATGATATGACCCAAATATAAATAAATACCATACAGATGATGTGCCAGACTTGACTATAAAATTTAAAAGGGTTAAGTTTTGCAGATACTTGATTTGATTATATAATAAACAAATTATCATTTCATAATATAGATTTCCTTCACTGTATGAAGACAGTAACATTTTGGCTGATTCACCCTAAATTTAAACTTAATTGGCCTTATATTAATCTGCCACAAAATATGATGGTAAAAGAAAGATTAGTTGCCCATTTGGAAAATATTCAGGAACAACCATATACGGATACCTCAAATGAATGTATGGATGACATTGATGCTTTTTTTGGGAAAAATACTGTACAAATTGCTTGTTCCGTTAAAAAAAATTTTTATTCAAATGATGATTCCATGAATATTTTTAATACTTATATTAATTTTAAAAAAATATTTATTGAATATAATACACCTTTGCCATCAAGCGCTCCTGTGGAACGCTTGTTTAGTAAAGCTAAACATGTTCTAAATGAAAGACGCTGATGTTTAAATGATGATAATTTGGAAAAAATTTAATTAATAAAAGCTAATTTTAATTATAAATAATATTATAATTGTTATATTTATTATTCAATTACAATAAATTTCTACCATATTTAATTTATTTTTATATTAGTTAATTTTGCATCGGTTATATTATATTATTATTCAATTACAATAAATTTATAACATATATTAGCTTTTTTTAAAAAGATCGTGATCGGGATTCGAACGTTTTAAAAAAATCGGTTAACAAGCTTGATAGCACACTTATAACCTAATATATTTTATTGTTTAAATTTGGCTAAATAAAATTTTAATAATTAAAATCTAGGAATTTTGTTTTTGAATTTAAATTTAACTATTAATGGCAAATTAAAATTCAATAATTAATATTTTCTTAATTTTTGGGGCCATTTGTGATGACCAAAAATTTTACCTAAAGGCCGGGGGGGGGGAATAAACTTTGGGGGATTACGGTGGAAGGCTGTCACCCTAGTGGCTACGGACCTTTGTGAATGAATGATATAAAATGTAATTATTAAAATCAAAATAAATATAATATTTTTAACTGTTATTTTTATCTTTAATTTACAAATATGGGTATATTGCTTTACTATATCCCCTTAGCGTGCCTACCCCTACACCTCTTTAAAAAAAGTGGGGAAAAATTTCTCTGAACCCCTCTCTCATTAAAATTAGACCCATCAATAAATATAAAAAATTACTCAGAGATTTATTTAGTTATGCCTGTTATCGCCTAGTTTTTCTTTTATCATCCTGTTGCAAAAATTTTAATGTTTCAATAGGGAGAAAAGCTTTAGTCGAAATAATTGTTAGAATGTTGCAAAGAGAAAACTTGGACAACTTTTAATTCAGTGGGAGAGACTGGAACATGTAACATTTAAACATTCAAATATTATAAATAATTAGCCCCATAAATGCTAATAATTGTTGTGTGTTTCTCATTGCCCATGCTTGATTAATCACATTCATCTTGCCTACAGTTGGATGGCTACAATTTTTGCTGTTCTTACTTTTAAATCAGCATTCTATTTAATCATGTTATATTCTAATACAATCTCTGAGTTATAAAATAAATTGATTTCAAAATAGAAAAAAAATATGTGGAAAGTAAATAACAACTGTTTCAGATTTACAACTGACATTAATAAAAATTCTTGGAAAAATATAAAAAGATCAGTCTTCTGACTCTTAATGTTAAATATTGTAGGGTCATATATTGAACCAACCAATATTTGTTATGATCGAGTAAACGTCATTGTCTAGCATATGTGGCCTACTTGTAAATGGTTCCAAAGAGATTGGTTTAAATAAAGTGTTTTTTTAATCAAAATTTCCACTAAATAGTTTAAAATTAATGAACCATAATTTAAATTGGAAGCTCAGAATATAGCCTTTGCAGATCTCTGTTATTTCAATCTGACATTAATTAAATAGGAATATTACACTAGTAATGAGTTCAATTAAGATATATCATAAATAAATCAAATTGACTGCTAAATATTTGATTCAATATCTGTGAGATGTATTAACTAACTACTGTTAAATATATAGCAATACCAAAGCTATTTCTAACCAATTATTAATAAAATTATATGATTTATTTAATTTACAATAATTTAAGTAATAAATATTTTTAAAATATATTACACATTTATTAAAACTAAATGAAACTAAAAACCACAATTGTAACAGTCAATGCATATAAATTGTGGGGGAGGATTTTCTGATATACAACCTAATTTACGATTTGCAAATGATTTAACAAATTCCCAATCACTTTGTTCATCATCCGCTAAAGATAAAATTAACTATAAAATATTCATCCAAAAATACACTACCTTCTAAGCCTTCATTATTTGATACACTTGTTTCTTCATCAACTGAGTTTTCATTAGAACTTGTAGTTATATCTCTATATTATAGAAAATTTATATTTATATAAATAATTTTTAAAGAAAATATTTAACCTGCTATCAATTTCCATATCAGAAATTTGTGTTTCAATTAATTGTGATTTGTCAATATTACTAAATTTTTTTAAAAAATTAAAAATAATGTTTATTTATATTACTTGGCATTAGCTGGACAAATTATTTTTATTTTTTCATTTATATCATTATGTAATACTTGATCAATATTATGTAAGCGTTTTCTTTTGTGAAGATTTGGCTTAGTTTTATTTTCTAACATGATTGGTGATAATGATTTGCTTTGAGTTCCACTGCTCATGTAGTCTTCCATAAAATTTTTGGATCTCACATGCTTAATGTAACGTTTTTTAAAAATTTTACTTTCAGGTTCATTTATGAGTCGTCTACAATTTGCACACCGTGCATTATTTTCTGTACATAAATTTGCTCTTGCCGAAAATTTTAACTTTGCAAACTTTTTCCTTATAAGATTACTACTACTCTCGTCAGTGTTTTCAGAATATAAAGTTTCCTCGTCTTCTTTATCGCAGCATGAGTTTGTTTTAAATGAAGAATTTTGTTTAATAATCCAATTTAAATCGGCAGTCTTTCTTTTTCTACTTCTTTTCTTTTTCGTAGTATTACTGATCATATGTTATAATAAAATGAGTGCATGCATGATTATAGTTGGATTTTAGCTTTATAAGATTTGGCATGCCTCACAGACTTCATGGGCCGGGCTTGGACCTGGATTTTTTAATTATTTTAAATGAGCTTATGATATAAATTCTTAAATATCTGCTTAGTTGATAATTTAAAAAATTGTCATTTCTTTCTTCGAATAATAAATTTCAGTATTGTAAACAAGACGATTTCCTAACTTATATATTGCTAATTTTGGGAATAGGGTTTTTGGCCGGATTTGGGAAATTTTTTTGCGATTTATTATAAACTTGGGAATTTTTAATAAATGGACCGAGCTTCGGCCTAAAAATTATGTCTGGGCCAAATTTAGTCAAAAATTAAGACCCATGAAAGTCTTTGATGTCTCATATAACCGGTCGAGACATCTTAACTTTTAAATCAGGAAGCTTTATTAATAATTATGAGTATTAATTGGAATATGTTAAAAATAATTCCATTTATAAAAAATTACAAATAAAGCTATTAAAGGCTAGCTAGTGTCCTCATTTTTCTATTATTCTTTTAAAGCTTGGCTATTTTTTATGCAACTTGCCTGCGTTATGCAAAAATTTATAATTTTATTTTTTTTATGCGTATATTTATCGAAACGAAACATTCAAAATTCATATGCGCTAAAGGCGCTAAATTTATATGTAATTTATTTGAATTTAATTTTATTTGTAGATTTAAATCAGATAAATTAGAATAAATTAAATGCACGATAGCTTATAGTAATTAAAATTTATTGCAAATTAGTCTAAAAAAAATTTAGTATATTAATTTTACTCCATATAGGACCATACTTTATAAAAGTTGGGTTTGTCATACAAAGAAAAGGTTCTAATTTTTAAGTACCTGATATAAATAATTTCATATTTATTTACATATGCTACCTTCTAGGAAAATGAGGCGATTATATCCTATCGGAATGCATTTTAATAATCCACAGTAGTTTTCTTCTCTATATTCATGCATTTAAATATCAAAAATTTCATATGATAATTCTTACAAGTAATATTTTATAAGGCTGATTTTTTTACAAATGTGAAAATTTGAAATTGAAAAGTACTATATTTTTTTTTGATATCCTGTGAAATGTATAACGTAATTTGTTCATATGATAAGTGTAAATTTTGTTTACATGATCTTATTGGGAAGAAACTTAGAAGCTAAATATTATATATTAAATTTTATTCATTTAGGTTAAATGGAAATTCAATTGATGCTAAATATAGTATTATATTCGTAATAGACTTACACAAAGTAAAGTAAACCAAAAATTAACGCCACCCTTAAAGTAATTAAATTATACTGAAATTTTCGGACATAGGTTTTTGTTTTGCCCAACTCTTTTTTTTAACCTACGGAAGCTTAAGTAGCATTTATTGGTCTGTTGTTCGTGCAATACTTACGACTTGCCCCCTAACTTATATGCAGGCAATATAATTTCCATTTTGCCAAGATTTCTATAAATCAATAAATTTTTATAGAAAAAAAATATTTATTATTCAAAAATATGCAATAAAAAAATGATTTCATACCAGATCTGTCTAGCTCTTGGGGTTAATGATACTAAAAATAAAATCGAGTGTTCTTAAATATTTAAAAAAAAATTTTATATTTTTAGTTCACAATTATAAATGTTTACTCACTATTTTAATTTTATCATCTGCTTTATCTGTAATTTAATATATTTTTGTTTATATCAACTAATATTCTCAATCATTAACGCATGTTTATATAACTTAAAATAGAAGAAATAATTTTAATTGAAAAGTTATCGCTATATATCTATGCTCTAGCTACCTATTCTGATTCACAAGATCTCAAATAAATCAAATATATTTAAATGGATATTATATAGGTAATGATTTATCAAATGATGATATAAAATTCTATATATTTTAGTATTTTAACGTTATAGTTTTCTTGTATATTATAGTGCACACAAATTGAGCGTTTACGTTTTGCCGTAATTTTTTAATAAAAAAACGTAACGCATCCCTTGTTTATTGAGGTTGCACTTTTATTAATATCGATGATTCAAAATAAATAAGAATTATATTATCGTCTGCCTTATTATTTCTTTAATTTCTAAATATTCCTTTTTAGGATATAAATAAGCTATTTATATTACATTATATATTACAAAGCGAAGAATAAAAAAAAGTAATGAAAAAGCAAACCTATTTGCGTTTTTTTAAATGGTTGCTAACGCCAAACGGTAATTTTACCAATTTGCACGAGGCCATTTGAAATGCATTATTTACGCTTGCAACACAGCGTTTGAAACGCTCAATTTGTACGCACTATTAGAAAGAAATAAATCTTTCAAAAAAAAATAATTTAATATTTGAAATTCATAAAAAGTAAAGAAATATTAATGGAAGCTTACTATTTTTTTTCTTTTAGAAATTCATATTAGACGCAAAGCGCGATCATTTAAAACAGGGCTCGCGGGACAGGAAAAATACGAAAAAATTACAATGGGCCGTGGGCGCGCTTGGCATAAAAATTAAATGTGTCGAGCAATTCGTACATAAAAATTTTATGGCCGGGTCGGAGAATTTAACAAAAAAATAAGGTAAGGTTATTCAAAACACTGATGATTCGTAAATTTTGATATATATATATATAATTATTTTTTTGAATTTCAAGCCAAAATTTTGATTACTAGAAAATAAATTACAATATGCTTGTTTCTTGCGTATTAAGAGCTGTCAAATATGAAATCTATAAATAATATATTAAATTCATTTTTTATAAAAACTAGTTATTTATGATATGATCCAATTACAAATATACAATAATAGAAACAGGTATCGAACACAATTGATTTATAATACGGTTGTTGTAAAAATGTATAGCCATCAATGACATTTATATAGTGCTGTGAAGTAACGTCAAAAAAGTAACAACGCCATTCGTTACCTTCTTCTAGAGGTAACGAATAACGGTAACGCGCTTTTTTTTGAGTAACTGTAACGCAAAACGTTACTCGTTACTTTATATTTTAAAAATATTAACAAAAAGAAAAACATATTTTATTGTATTATAAAATTACTTTTATTTATTTTTTAATTCTTAATATAAATAATGTTAAATTTTGTGCCGAAATTATTATTCAATCAAAATTCAAGTAAATGTTAGTAATGATATTATTATTCTTATAATTTATTTTAAGAATATTATGTCCATAGTACTAACTTCTTCATGTGAAGATGATTTAACCCTTCCCTGGCCCCACTTTTAAATATATTTTAAACCAATAAAGAAAATTAATGGTATTAAGTCTACACTTTGTAAATGTAAATTATATCCTAACACAAATATTTCACAATGTCCAGCAGTTCAAACTTAAAAAAGCATTTGAAGGTAAATACATCATTATTTTAAACATTACTTTAATAATAGAATAATATTCTTTCATAATATTTTGAAAAGCTTAATCATGGAATTAAAATATAAGTAGGGGCTTGATATTAAATATCGGATCGAATCGGCTCTGATATTAAGCGTTTTCAAAAAATATCGGATCGGACCCATACCTGTAAAAACCCGATTCGGTCTTTTTACTTTACTTTTTTTTTGTTATTTTATGTTATGTATATTTATTTTACATTATAATAATTTCTAAATAATTTTTTTTAAACAATGCAAATGCACAACACTTTCTAAATTTTATTCTTTTTTAAAATAGATTTATAGTATTTTAGAGTTTTTTTTATAAAAATAGAAAGGAACACCCAAAGTTTTAATTATTTTAAATCTTTTTAAATAATCGCCATTTTATTATTTATAATTTAAATAAAAGAATATTTTTAAATATGGTATCTGAATTATGGATATTTTACTAAAGACAAAGATAATTTTGCAAAATGCGTTATCTGCGGAATCATCTGAGTTTACCTTCAGTACGGCAGGGGATATAGATACTCCATATTGTAGAAGCTTATTGCCAGAAATCTAGAGGCTTTCATATTTATTTTAAAAAATCTAATATGTTATAATTTTATATATTAAATACAATTTTATAATTCATACCAACATAAAATGGATATATTATCAAATATATGTTTTTTAAATTATAGTCTTAATTGTAGAAATAAAAAATTACATTTGGTTCAGGCGGGGGGGGGGGGGGTGAAAAATCTATATAAATATCGGATCAGTATCGGATCTGTTTTGAAGCAATATTGGATTGAATCAGTAAAAAATATGTGAATCGGCACAGCCCTAAATATAAGCAATTAATTTATACTACATTATTGGGCTGGGAACCAACATTAAAAACCCAAGATTAACAAAATATTGGTTTTGGTTCAAAGTATTCATGTTTAAATAATACATATATAAAATAGTGGCGTAGCCAGGATATATCCAATAACAAAATTTTACAGAGAATTTCATTATAGATTTTATTTATTATTAAAATACTATATATAACATCCCATTATTTAATCAGCAGTATTGAGCACTAAGCGCTCGTTTGTCTGATCAAAATTTTGAAATCAATTGTTGCTAAAAAATAAATAAAAAATTGTTACATAAAAATATGTTATCTTGTAATATATTATTTTTGTATAATTTTATTTATATTATAAATTTTTTTTTTATAAAACGATCTTATATATTCTTTTTGTATAGTTATTTTATTATATATTGTCGGAAAAAAATAAATATTAATTTTGTATATATTTAATTTTTAAGTTATGAGTAGCCCGTTACTATTTTGAAAAGTCGGTAACGCGCGTTCCTTTTTTGAAAAGGTAGAGTAACGTAACGCGTTCTTTTTTCAAATGTAACGAGAAACGGTAACGCGTTTCTTTTTTGTAGTAACGTTTACAGCACATTTATATGTAATTGATAGCCATAGAGGAGAAATATAAGAGCCATAATTGACATTGGGGAAAAATTATATATAGATATTAAAAATTTTATAGCCCAAAAATTTGTACAAAAAAAATATAACCAGTCAGGGTATAC